TATATACAAATATATATATACATGTATATGTTTATTTTGATGTCTATTCTTTCTTTCTCTTTCTATGTTGAATGTTCGGGCAGAAGTAAAGAGAGTGTAAGGGCCGACGGACGCAAAAGGTTCGCGTCGCGACGCCGTTCTGACGGCGTCCCGGCCGTACCAGGCCTCCGCACCCTCTACAACCCCCCTTCACCTACCCCCTCCCTTTCACCCTCTTTCAACTCGGCGCAAGCGTGCTTCGAGGGTGGCCCCCAACGCGCTTCTTCTTCTCCTACTTTTTATTATTATTTTTCTTCTTATATTATTTCTATTTCTTTACTGAAATTTACGCACCACCTTACTCTAAGATCATCTTACTCGGAGATAGATATTTTTGTCACCTGCTGATATTCAGAAATTATTCCCTTTTTTCTTATTTTCTAATTTTAGATACTTTATTTTTATCTCAAGAGAGAGAGAGAGAGAGAGAGAGAGAGAGAGAGAGATAGAATTATTTTAATTATTTTCGTGAGTTGGTCTCTTTTTTTTTTTTCTTTTATTCGTGTACGTGTGCTTTATTCTGAGTTCGTTTAATAAGTTATCATGTGAAATGTAGGTGTTTTCTTTTTTTTTTTTTAGAGTGCATAAGTTTATGCAACATTTTACGATCTTTTTTCTTGAGGCATACTCCTGACAATGATAGTAAATTACTTTTATTTGATTCCTACGTTCTTTAATGTATTTTCCATTATTTTCTTTTATTTTTATTTTACTGTCATCTGTGACGTACGCGAATGATAAAATTGCTTTCTTCCGGTTTCCTTGTTTTTTCAATGTAACATTTAAATTTTAAAAAGATTGAATTAAATAAAAAAACAAAAAATAATATTAAAGAACCAAAAGCATTATCAAACGACATTTTTATTATTATCATTTGACGCAAGTTATAATACTTTTTTTTATTGATCCTCGGTTTAAAAGTGAGATCGAGATAATAAATGATAAGCAAACACCAAGCAGGACATATAACTGAAAGCATTACTGCTAATTAGAGTGATAGAGGTTAATTGCATAATGGAACATTTTAGATTCAATCTTTTATTATTATTATTATTATTAGACGTAAATTTACCGTACAAATTTCACGTGTCAAAACAAAAGAGAGATATCGTATAAACGAAAAAAATTATTCGTTAGAACAAATTTTGAATCGTTTCAATATTTCCATGCAATGAATAATATTACAATTGAAGAGATTATTATTAATTATTTGGAAGAAAATTTTAATAAACCCTATAATTAAAAAAGAAAAAAGAAAGGGTCTAAAAAGTAGTCATATTATTCGGATGTGACACCTCCCCAACGATTCAACGACGAAGTAAGCAAGATTGAGATAGGACTTGGGGAGTGGCTTCCTGAGATAAGGACGTAATATTACTGTTTGCGATACGCTACTAGGTATATCAAGGTGTCTCTCGATTTCACCGACGCATGACCGATTTCTCATGCTATTATACTAGGCTTGATCATACTAAAAGCGAAATTTTATTATTATCTTTCTATCGATAACTTTTTACGTTTCGTTAAATTTCATCGTAATTTTTCTCCACCCCCCTTTTTCTTTTGTAATTTATCTTTAACTTCTTTTTCCCTTCTAAACAAAAATTAATCTCGGAAACGTACGAAATTGTTTATCTTTCTTTTACGAAAAATCAAATCATTCGCGACGTTCAAATAACTTGACAAGATTGATCGAATCTATTCAAAAATAAAAAATATTTATATTAATTTTGTCAATTATACAAAAAAAAAGGACATCGTTATTTCAATGAAATCATTAATTTGTTTTTTAACATTAAATAAAATTCTACATTGTGTTTTATTAATATTGAATACTTCGAATGACCGTAAACGATTAAAATTAAACTGATAAAAAATGAAAGAAATAAAGGAACATTTGTAAAGTCTAAAATAAAATACGAACTCATGTAATTCTGTAGAATAGTAAATTTCTAAATTGTTAACTAGAGTTTACAGATTTATATCTGCACACATGAAACACGCTAAAAGAAGAGAGAGAAAGAGAAAAAGAGAGAGAGAGAGAGAGAGAGAGAGAGAGAGAGAGAGAAATTTAAACAGGACCTTTGAAACTCTTAGCACACAAACAAACGCACAAAATGACGAATTAGGAAATGCTCTTCTATTACGAAACAGAAGTGCAAATGCACAAACACAAACACACATTGATATCTAACTATGAGAAAAGCCGACCACAACAAAGAGAAATGTAAGGGAATTGCTGAAGGATAAAATTTAATGTCTCCCCTTACGCGTTACGGTTCACCTATCGTTAAATTTACTGTTCATCGATGGTTCTTCTCCTCACTTATTTATTACCATAAGAATCCTCGACTATGCGATTTGCTTTCACTATTTGAAGTCATAATAAATGAGTCTTTTTGTAAACTTTCCACGGAATCATCAAGTATGTTAACCTCCGATTTTTCCGAAATTCTGCACATTTGTAACGGCCCATAAAACTATTCATCGCGCCTTTGAACATGGAATACAACCGTCTGTGAAAAAACGCGAAAAGAAAGGTGCAATTTCAGGAATACTTAGAACTATATTTGTTATAAAATTTTAAAATAACAGTGTATATGTAATATTTAGTTTTTGTGTGTGCCTTCAGAAATGCAATTTTTACATATATATTAAAGAGTAATAATTTAAAACGTTCAAATAGAAGAAAATTATAATTAGTAGAAGATAAATCCAACGACGATCACCTGTAACAAAAAGAAAACTATATTAATCATACAATCAAGTGACACAATAGCCTGACCTATAAATCGTCCAATTGGCAGATGCACTTTCTGAATGAACTGCACTTCTAAATAAAGAATTCTTTATTTATTTTAATCAAATTCATATTTACCGTTGCAATAAAATAACATTTAAACGCGTGATTTTACGTTTACATAAAAGATATATAAAAACAAAGGGAAAAATAGAAATATTAGGTTACAAAAAAGATAAAATATCTAATAATAATTATGAAATACTTATAGAAAAGAAAAATTGCAAATTTAATAAAATAAAAAAAAAGTGAATAATCTTAAAGACGAGAAGAGAAAATAGAAATTACTTTAATATTCACCGAACGTTAATTAAGATTCAAAATTTAATACTATGAGAATTTTCAAATTTTKGACTCTAACTAATGAAAATCTTATGCATCCTTTTGACGATTAAGACACGAATTTGGTGTCCCAAGGAGATGGAATGGTCCATCATCYCCAATTACAACTACAAATTAATGACGAGCAAAAAAGTAATATAATAAAATATAAAATATGACTAGAGAGCTATTCTCGAAACGTTCAAACTTGTTGTTGAACTTTTGAAAATAACTCAATAGTCTATGTAGTTGCCCACTTGATACCACAAATTTGTGGGGGCCTCTTCGGCATTAGCCTCTTCGGCATT